AGTTATCCTCGCGCGATGAAACGTTGGTGTCGAGCGACACCCACCCTTGGTGTCGATCGACACCGAATCTCAGCAGACGCTCCAACTGCGTTTCTCACTGGATCTCTTCTCCAAAATACCACCACGATAAGAACGAGTCTCCAAAGGATTCCACAGGCATCAATCATCAAATAAACAGCCAAACAAGCAAAGGAAATCAATCAAACAATCATCAAAACCCTAAAACAATGATCAAACATGCTTAGATAAGCCTGGTCATGCACTCACCTCTTTAACAAGAAGAACAGCAACGAAAACAAGGAAGAACAAGGAAGGATCTGTCTCCTCTAACACCACACAACACTGATCTAGCCTCTACTAGCCTTAAACCACCAAGAACACCACCAAGCACCACCCAAAGACTCACAAAAACCCTCAGAAGCTCTAGAACCTTTTTCTCTCTCTGAAAGTGTTAAAAAGCGGCTGGGAAGAGACAACACACGACCTTCCCTCTTTTAAACACGACCTAGGGTTAACCAACCCAAACCAAGCCTCAATTGAACCGACGATTTAAAACTTAAACCGTCAAACCAGAAATACTAGTGTCGATCGACACCCAACTACAGTGTCGATCGACACCACCCGGATTTCCAGACACGGGCGTTACAAATTGTCCCTTACGATTTTTGAGTCATGGATTTGCTTATTGACAATGATCATGTGTTTTTGAGTCCCGTTATGTTCTCTTTGCATCAATATACTCGCGTTCCAGACCCTATTTGCTCATACACACCCACCTCCCCCGTCCATAGGTCGCAACCCGTGGATCATCCACTATATTGCATACACACGCCTATACCAAGAAAATCAAAGAATAGAAAGAAACGCGCATAGCCCTATATTAAATAGTCTATCTAAACCATAAATAACTCATGATGATGCATAAAAATAAAATAAAAACTCCAAAATATTCAAACCCGATAAGCCCCTTATGCTTTCCGAAAAAATATGTCATGCTGCTGTTGCATTGCTCTGCTCGTGCAACTTTCTTAACTTGCACTAAACTTGGAACATATGAGCACACAAGTGGGTAGCCACAATAGGACTTACATCTAGTTTCTCCAAGATCTACTTCTTTGACGTATCCATCTTTTCCAATGATGTAAGCTAGTTTGGGTTTGACGTTATATTTATCTACATCGAAAACCACAACAACATTTTTCTTCTCATCAATGAAGAAACTATTGGGGTTAACCGTAGGATGAGTGAGTGGTTCCATATTAACGTCAAAAAACTTGTTCCACGTTAATTCTTGAGGCTCAATCTTTGTTGTAACCCAAATCTCTATCCTCCATAATATGAAGCTCCTCTTAAGTAACAATGCAAGCTTCTCTTCTCTAACACTAGAGAGATTCACAGTATCTTCCGAATAAGAGTGAAACGGCATAGGAAGACGATGTCCGAATCTTTATGTTGTAAAATCAAAACAGATCAAGAAAACTTGGTGATCTTGTCGTCCTCCTTCTATATACCTTTCTCTAGCTAACCAGTAAGTATTTCCTTGGAGAGACACGCCACATTGGAAAACAAAAATTTCCAAGTCTAGAGTTAAATTAAAAACCTTCCATGAATCAAAATACAAATTGTAGATTTCAAACTCATAAATTCGGTTGGTGTTCCGAATTTTTTCATTATTAAATCTCAAGATCTTGTGGATACGAGGCGAGTTGCTCTTCTCCTCGTATCCGAGAGCGTACCTGTCACCTATCATGTAAGCATTTTTGGGTTTGATCAACCTTGTTTGCCCTATATAAGGGTTCCAAACTACAATCCTAATGTTCATCTTGTTGACAATAGTGATGCATAACAATAAACCGTCACAATGATAAACAGTAGATATATTATCGACTTGATAATCTAAGTCATCGCTTAGGCTGTTGAGTTTAGCTTTATGCATTATAGATGAGCCAACATTGTTGTCGTCTTTGTGAATTCCAAAGAGATTGAAACTCATTAAATAAACATTGCAACCCATCATCAAGACCACCATACTCTCATTGTCCTTTGTTGCTATTGTTTTACCAAAGAGCTTCTTCGTAAAGCTTTGATCGTAGGACAAAGTGTTCCAATCTTTGCAAATAGATCTTATTGTTCTTATAGATCTTACTGGAACCTTAATGAGTATCTCCTCCAACAAATCCTTGGGAAGATCGGACAATGACATTGTCATGTTGGTCGTTTCTCAAAAGTGTGGTCCCTTTTTCTCAGACTTGGGAATTAGTACTTTTGTGGCATTATATAATCAAAGCTGAATGCTATTTTGATTATTATCAGATATTTTTCTTAGTTAGTTTTAAATGAGTAATCTTGTACATCTTAAAGCTTAATAGATAAGAGATTAACAAGTAATTACAATTTGTTAAATAGGTTTTGAACTTTTGATAAACAAATAATCTGAAAACATTAATCCAATTATTGAATAATCTTATATAATATTAAAGGTTTTCTTTAAACTTGCTCTAGTATGTTGACATTTGGCACTTCTAATATTTGACATGTGTCATCTTATAATCTATCTCTTAATTATTAGTAATGTGTTTAATTTTTTCATATTAATACAACAAGTAATGTGCTTAGTTTTTTCATATTAATTTAAATGATTAGTTCTCTTTTATGACCCGACCAATGTGTGGATTTATTTATCTTTAAAAAAAGATATTTTTTAAAAATATTAAAATTTTGTTGTAAGTAAATAGTTATATTGTAAATTTTCTTTAATATACTAGTTTATATCCAGTTACATATCTACTATTTATGTGTAATGCATGTGTTTGTGTTTTGGGTGGGTAGGTGGGTATCGATCGATACCATGGGTGGGTCTCAGTCGACACTACTATTTTGTGGTGAGGAAGTTTAGTTTTAATTGTCCGGTTAAGTGAAAAAATTAATTAAAGGAACCCATAGTTGAATTTGTTTGATCATTGGATCAAACAGAGAAATAAAATTTCAAGATGTGCGAGTTGGATCTCACACTCTTGAATCTAAGACCATCCAATGGATCCAACCTTTCGCTTTTGCTATCGCCAGAAAGAGAGAGAGAGAGAGATAAGAGAGAAGAAAGTCGCGAAAGAAAAGGAAAAAATTGGCATTTGTTTTTTTTTGTTTATATATTTTACACTTCGGTCATTCACATACCACCACGTCATCGACTCTTCACCCACCAAAAGCTTATCTACTGTGAGTCGGTTCTCTCTAATTAAGTGATTAATTGATTAATTTTTATGTCAAAAACATAGAGAACCCATGTTTAAAACCCCTATCGTGGTTGCTCTAAATGGTTGGTTTAGCTCGAGATCTTGACCTCGCTCTTCTCTGCCATCTCAGGAAACATGTGTTTTTTAAATAATGGGCCTTTGATATAGGATTTGAACCCACAAGAAAAGGGCTTTTGGGTATAATACATGCTTTATATAATAAAGATATATCTTAATTAATATTAAACATTTAACAAAATATAAATAAAACATGACAAATCTACAAAAACAATCTAAACATAGACTTTAGCATTTTACAAAGCTGATAAATGAGTATATAAACTACCAAACTGAGTAGGTCAAGCTCGTCTGTTTGAAGTATGATGTTGAGTTGCCAACCAGGTTATCCCAAATAGGTGTGACCCATTTCATTTTGCTAGATACTTGAAAGAGGGAAACCCATATCCAATAAGATATGTCTGATGTTCTGATCTCTCAAGAAAATGTTTAAACCACTTTGCAGAATCTTTTGCATATCGTTTAAGGTCGTCTGTATAGTCAATATAATAGAGACCAAATCTCACATCATATCCATGTTCCCATTCAAAATTATCCAACAACGACCAAACAAGATAGCCTCTAACGTCACATCCATCCTCACTGTATATTTGTGTTTATAATTGAGATTAATATTCACAATCGTATAAGATTACTAATAATTAATCAAATGTTATTTCATTATATATGTTGACATTTTCTTACGTGATAGCTTTACGGAGTTCTTCAAGATGTTTCTTGTGGTATTCTATTCTTTGTATGTCCTTTAATATTTGTTCTCGGGGCATTTTCGCAATATCATAGTCGTCAAATCCTACAAATTATTCATGGTTTAGTAACACAAAAAGATAATTGTATCTAATTTGGTGAGAATTAGTGAAATACTATGAGATTATTTCGCTTAAGTACTTACCGATTTCCGTTATGTAAATCGTTGGATTATTATATTTATTTTTAATGTAATTTAGAATCTTCCGTATGCCTTCAGGATATGAATATAGTACTTTTGATCCGTCCTGAAATGATAAAAGAAACAAAGAATATGTAGCTGTCAAGTTTTGCTACAAATTTTGCAATTCAAATAAAATTTTGTATTCTGAGAAAAGAAAATTAGTTTAATGAGAGGTCAAAAGTTCATACAGATTGTGAAGATATGTGATCGCCGCTACGATTTGTCACTAACCAAAAATGAAAACAAAGGTAATATTAGTTTTAGTTGAAGCTTTATTTAAACCTATTTTATTTGTAGAAATTTGAAGCTTTATACTAGATTATTAATATGGCAATTAACTAAAGACTAAGCTTTCTTTTCTCTTGAGATTACTAAATAACATTTGATTAATTAATATGGCAATTAACTAAATGTTATTAGTAATCTTACTTTTGTACTCGAGGTGTTGATCTGTCGTGAACCGAAGTCGTGAAGGGTCATTGTGTTCCTGATGAGCGACGAATCGTGCGGTATAGTAGTTTACTCCAATAAAATCAAATGAGTTTTTGACCATATTGGATTGTTCTTTAGTAAAAGAAGGTAATCTGTTTCCGGCGTTTTTCTTTATCGTTTCCGGATAATCTCCAAAGACTAAAGGATCAAGATGCCTACATAAGTAACAAAATTAGCCTATTTAATTCTTACATAAACATATTGAAAATTTTAAATATTTTTTTTTCATTTAGAAAACTTACCAACCAACATAGGATGCAAGAGCTCGTTCAACTGCTTCTTTATCAGCATGGGAAGCAACATCATAAGGTTCAAACCAAAATGGAGATAACACTATGCCTATTTGTGCATCTTTTGAAATCTGTTTTGAACGAAAAAAAAAACTAATTATTATTAATGGGAATTTTAAGCTTTTTTGTATATCATATAAGACAAGTTCATCCCAATTTTTTTAACTGACTAATGTAATGAGATATTTTCTTATATATCTATACCTTGTCACAAGTTCTAAACTCTTCAACAGCTGCAGCATGAGCTAGAAGAAGGTGATGAGAAACTAAGTAAGGTTCCCTGCTAGAATCACCAGCCACACATAACTTGTTTACCCATTTCGAGCATCGTCCCATTGCTTTATTACCATTATCATAACCCGCAACACTATAAACATATGGTTCGTTGATTGTTGTCCACATATCAACTTTGTCACCAAAATTTTCGAAGCAAACTCTAGCAAAGTTCCGGAAATCATCGCTACATCAACAAAAAAAATTTGAGTTAAGGTTATTAAACTAGTATTATGATTTCGATTCGATATATGGTAATGAAAGAAACTTATAATTTTCTTACATGATCCGAGGGCTTAAGAAACCACCATACTCATCGTATAGAGCTTGAGGGATATCCCAATGGTAGATTGTTACAAAAGGTTCTATGCCTATGTACATGTTTGAATATACTATGATCATATATACTTGAACTGTGGACTTTTATATACATGTATATATACACAAGTTTTAAGTATATGATTCTAACCGTTCTTGATAAGTTCATCAATGAGATTTTTGTAGAATTGAACTCCTTCGCTGTTTACACCATCGTTAAGCTTTCCACCTGAATGTTCAAATATTGAAAGATTAACAAATTAAATGAGTAAGTATATATATTCACATATATATGACAGAATTATGTAATTAGTATTTTAAACTAAATTTTCAACATAGTTAATTACTACTTACTTGGTAATATTCTTGACCAGGAGATGGAGAATCTGAAAGAATCCATATTCATATATTTGATCAACTTGATATCATCCTGCTTGTTTAATTTAATTAGTACATGAACTTATGCTAAATATAATATAGAAAAAACATATTAAAGAAATTAAAAGTTACTTCCTAATTATAAAAATATTCAAATCGTATACCTTATAACGGTGGTAAAAATCAACTGCTATATCTCCATTGTTCATATTAGTCCTTTCTGCAAAATTTTACCATGTTCAAATATATTTATATAGCCTAAAAATTACACATATTCAAATATTATACAGCCGAAAATTCAACGGCTACTTATATATATAGCCAAATATTTTTGCAAATTTTCAAATATAGTTTGTAGTTTATAAATAAATTACACAAAATGTTAGATATATATTGTAGCTGATATATAAATTACACAAAATGTTAGTATTAGTAATATTAATGGTGAAAAAATATAGATAAGTACAAACCTGGATATGCATGTGTGAAGTTGTCCCAAATGCTAGGCGTCCTTCCTCCTTCTTCGGTTGCACCTTCATACTGCATCACATCAATGAACATGTCAAACACTAAATTTTGTGAGGCAGTAGATACCGATATCGGAAAACAAACTAACCTGATAAGCAGAAGAGGCAACACCAAAACTAAAACCAGGAGGGAAACTATAACGATCTAGTGATGATTTCGTCGAAAATGTAAGAGATCTTCCCTTTGCAACATCCCATGAAGCTACAAAGAGTATGACTAGGGCAAGCTTAATTGCCATAATTAGCAAATTTGTTAATAGAATATATAAAACTTGATATATATGTTGTTAGGGGTTTTATTATGTTCTTAGATTGTTGCATGATATGTTCTTGTTTCCATGTAGGTTTATATAGAGAGAGTGGTAGAAAAAGCTAGGGCATACACGTGAAAAATATTAGACTATGAAATTAGATAATTATTTTGTCAATTGGTTTTCATTGACTGTTTGTTATAATCTTCATGATAAAAGTTTATCAACACGAAATATGTTACAACACAAAAGATTGAATAAAACAACTTAACTAGTTTGAAAAAGTTTTAAGTATTTTTGGCTTTAGTCGTCTACGGAAGGTGACTGGCAAGAGAGTTAAAGAATTTTTATTTTCTTGATTATTTAGCTTTTACATCAAGTAATGCAAAACATTTATAGTTAAAGTATGTATAGTCAAAATAATACTTTCTTTCATCACCTTGATAAGCATAATGTATTTTGTGAATTTATGTGTTTTTTAATTATGGCGTGACACTTGTTGTTACTTATTATAACATTTTCTCGTTTTCCGATCGGTGTATTAAACAATATTTGTCTATAATAAACCCCAAACCACGTTTTGTTTTTGTTTCTATAAGTAGACATTTCCTAGCAAGGGTTATCACTTTAAATACTTTATGCTTTAAATGTTATTTTTATGTGTTAAAATATTGTATTTTTTTTTTAATACGTTAGGTGTCCGTATTCAGCAGTTACTCCTTGAAATCATATTAAAGAAATGATATCTATAAATACAAAAATATGTACCATTAAAAACGTGTTAAAAAGTCAATAGAAAGTGTGTATATATATGATTTATTCATCTTTAACACTTTTCTTATGTTTCATAAATAAGTATCTCTCTTATAAGTCTAATTCTCCCTTTTAAGTTGAGAGAAAGGCTCTTGATGTTTGATGTTTGACCGCGGACGTTGTAGGTTTGACATAACTAACGAACATCATATAGACCACAAGAATGACAAGCCAAAGCATATGTGATGTTTTGTAATTAGAATTCTTAACAAGATAAATTTTTGTATATATATTTATGTTATGAGAACTTAATTAGAGTGTAATCTTGAGATTGTGTCAGAAGAACTCTTTTTTTTTTTCTATTTTTTGAATGAATCAAAGTATTACTAATCTTGATGACAATTTAAATTTTTTTTTTATATATATTTACTTGCGTAAATTGAGTTTTGATGTTTTGTAATTAGGATTCTTAACAAAATAAATTTCTTATATATATTTATGTTATGAGAATCTAATTAGAATGCAATCTTGAGAGTTGTGTGCAGAAGAACTCTTTTTCTTTTTAATTTTTGAATGAATCAAAGTATTAGTAATCTTGGTGATAATTTAAATTATTATTTTTGGATGAATGAAATATAAACGTACAAATCATTAAACCCAAAGGAACAATCAATTCTGCCTTTTCAGGATACCGATGCTTTGTTGACGGATCATGGAAGGACACAAATAAAAATGCAGGATTAGGATGGTTCTGTCAGTACTCACAGAACGGCTCCACTTTCATGGGAGCTTTAAACCCTCGTAGAAGCCTTTCTCCTCTCCATGCAGATGTAGAAGCACTGATGTGGGCGATTCGATGTATAATAGGCCACGATTTCAGAGATGTAGAGTTCTTTACAGACTGCCCCAATTTGGTGAAGATGGTGTTTTCTCCTTCTGAGTGGCCAGCTTTCTCTGTATACCTGAAAGATATTGATAGCGACAGGTAACCCTGGGCAAAAAGCCCGTAGCCGAAGCCCATACTCGAACCCGGCCCGTTAAGCCCGTACCGAACCCGAACCCGATTAAAGAGGAAACCCGATCGGGTTTTGGTTTTGAAAAAATCCGGGTTCGGGTTCGGGTTCGGGTAAACCCGAAGACCCGAAAACCCGATTGTCAAGATTGTAAACCCGATTTCATTCCTTCGTAACTTTGTTGATAGATTTCATTGCCCAGAATTTTGATATACTCGAATCGATTTGAATATTTTCATTCCAAGAAAGATCATAATTCTGTAGTTAGCGAAATCTATGTCTCTCTCTCTCCCGTACGTCTCTCTCTAGCGTTATGTTTATTGTTTAAGAAGAAGGAGTACTCCATAGTCGACAATCGACATCTTATTTTACTTTCTTTTTTTTTTGGCTAATAACGATGGTTTATGTGGGGATTGATATGTTTGAATTCAGTGTTAATTGTTTTGTTTTTTGATTGAGTTCCATTGACGACGTAGCTCGTCGAATTCTTTTGTTTGGTTTGCGATTGATTTACTTGGATAAACACAGTAACTCTCTTTTCCGTTGCTGAGTTTTCTCTGTCTTCTCTCATATATAGATTGCTTGTGCCTCAAAATATTTTCATTTATAATAATAATACATTACGATATTTCCAATTTACATAAATATTTACAGAGTAGTGATCTATGTCTTTCGACAGTTTTTGTTGGTTCACTTGGGTAAATAAACAAACCAAACAGAATCTAAAAGCCGACCACAACACAAGAGCCATCAAAGGCTCTTTTGTCCAGCCATATAGCTTGGAAAGAAGCTTTATTTACAGTTTCTTCAGCAAATATTCTTGAAGAAAAGCATAGCTTTAGATAATATATATTAAGAGCAGCGGCTATGTCTGCGACCACAAGAGATCCATCTATTTACAGAGTTCGTGACTTTGCCCTCATGACATTGTTGATGTGATTTTGATTAGCCGTGTGTCTCTTTCGTGTTCCCCATCTTTGTATAGTCTTAACACAGAGATTAATATACGCCTTGGAAACCAAGTAAAGAGATATTAAATATGAATATTTAGAGGATAACTTGTTTCAGGAAATAAATAATTTGCCATGTTTATTTTGAGCGTGAAGTGTTGAGCATGTGTTGAGACTTATGCATTCTAAGCTCATTGTGTTCGAGCTTTAGTTTCTTAGATTCTTAGTTTTATAGTTTTTGGTCACTAGTTTTAGTGAATGGAACTTTGAATTCAGTGTAAATATTGAAGTGTGTGTTCTTATATAATGGAATCGTGTGTTCTTGGTATTGAAGCGTGTATTATTGTTCTTGGTATTGAAGCGTGTGTTACACTATAATTTTTTTTTCCTTCTATTTGGATGATAATTCTGGTGAGATTACATTATAATTTTTTTTTTAAAGAAAAAATTAGTGGTTATTACGGTTATAAGAACCCGAAACAAAACCGAACCCGAACCCGAAAAGCCCGGTCCGAACCCGAACCCACCCGAAAGTATATATATACCCGAATAGACTTTAGAAGTCTAAACCCGAAAACCCGAAATGCCCGGCCCGAGCCCGAACGGGCCCCCGAACGCCCAGGGCTAGCGATAGGGAAGAATTTTCTACCTTTTCTTTATCTCTTATTCTTCGAAGTGCGAATGTAAAAGCGGATAGCCTGGCATGCAGTGTGCATGTGCTCCTGCATTCGGTTAAGTTTGTTAACAATTGTCCTCCCAATTGACTTGTTTGAGCTAATCTGTATGAGTTTGGTATTGACAAAAAAAAAAAATCAATTCTATTAAAAATATTAACTTGTCATGACAATGCAATAAATAAAATATATTATTAGCCCACAAAACCATATCATCGAGCTTCGTATCAAAAAGATCGTCACTTTGGCCACGTCCCGTGAAAAGGATAAACATATTTTACTGTTTTCGTATATGACTAGTTTTCTATACACACGATGAACGCGCAAGAGTTATTAAAAATCATATAGATTTTATTATATTTTTCCAACAAAATTTTTCATTAAATTCATATTAGATGAATAGAATATTGAATCAATTATGTTTTTGTTAAAAAAAAAAAATAATTCTATTTTTATTTTTTTATCGATTTGACATTTTCAAACTATAAAAATATAATTAAACAGGTGTTTTATTCGTTATATTGGATTTCATCAATTATATTTGCTCTTACAGATTTTGTATTTTTAATGTATTTTAACCCAAAAAAATTATATATATATATATATATATATATATATTTATTTTGTAAATCACCAAAACAATTATATATATGAACACAAAATATTCAAAAATAGTAAATCCATATAATTTCAGCAAAAAATAGCATATTGGTAAAATTTACGTAAGAAATAATTCATGCTGGAGAAAAACCATCTTATTACGTATTGAAAATGAATAATGAGTTTAATGTGGATAATATGGATTATTAAAAAAATAAGACATGTATTTGGATATTTCCCTTCAACTCTACAATATTTTGTTATTTTTTACATAAAAAGTTGAAGGAAATTCTATGAAGAGATAATGGATTATGGGAGTGTGTGACTTGAACTATTGATCGGCCGTGCAGAAATATGACTTTATCTACTACATTGGAATTCACAACCAAATGTGTATAGAATAGGAAGCTCAATCTAATTGATAGTGTGTGTTTACAATATATATAGTGAGTACAATAGAGAGATTAAGTAAATAGTAATTACAAGTAGATCCATTACACACTTCTCCTTTACACGCCCCCTCAAGATGGAGGGGCATTTGCAACTCCAATCTTGGAAACAACAGCTTCAAACTGTGGCCTTGCTAACGGTTTAGTGAGTACATCCGCAAGTTGGTCGTGAGTGGAAACATGAGTAACACGCAGAGCACCCGCTTGAACATACTGTCGAACGAAATGGAAGTCAAGAGCAATATGTTTCATTCGAGAATGAAACACCGGGTTTGCAGAGAGATAGGTGGCGCCGACATTATCGCAATAGATCACCGGTGGAGCCGGTAGCTTAACACCAAGCTCTGTGAGGAGTGAGCACACCCAACTTAGTTCTGAGGCAGCGTTCGCCACAGCTCGATACTCAGATTATGTGGAAGATCGAGCAACTCCACGTTGTTTCCAAGACGACCACGAGATTGGTGTTCCACCAAGATACAAAATATATGCATTTGTAGAGACAGCATCATTTAGATCACGAGACCAGTCCGCATCAGAATAGGCGTGCAACGTAAGAGGCATATCAGCCCGAATAAATATGCCAAGTGTAGTTGTACCAGCAAGATATCGAAGAACTCGTTTGACGGCCTGCCAATGTAAGTCTGTCGGGCAGTGCATAAACTGTGACAAGCGATTAACCGCATAGGCAAGGTCTGGACGGGTGAAGGACAAATACTGCAAACTCCCAAGAACAGTCCTATACTCGGTCGGAGATGGGAGAGGCGTTCCCGATGTGAGAGTAAGTTTGGGTGTCGGGGCCATTGGAGTAGAGACCGGCCTAGCACTTAACATGTTTGTCTTTGTTAAGAGATCAATGATATAGCGTTTTTGCATTAGGTGAAGACCTTTCGCCGTGCGTGTAGCCTCAACACCCAAGAAGTACCTCATCTCACCAAGATCCTTAAGAGAGAAACGACTCGACAAGGTTTCAATGAAGACAGCAAGGAGATTAGTATCATTCCCAGTGATAAGCATATCATCAACATAGACAAGAACATAGAGTGTGTCTTTCCCGTGTTGCTTGGTAAACAATGAGGTATCTGCAATGGAGTTGTGGAAACCAAGTGTAAGTAAGTATGCACGCAGTTCTTGGTACCAAGCTCTCGGTGCTTGTTTCAGCCCGTAAAGGGCTTTGTGAAGACGGCACACATGATGTGGATTATCCCGATCAACGAATCCAGGCGGTTGCGAAACATACACTTCCTCAGTCAAAGTACCTTGAAGGAATGCATTATTGACATCAATTTGACGAATACTCCACCCGTTAGTGACAGCAAGATGAAGAACCGAGCGGACGGTGGGGGACTTGATGACGGGGCTAAACGTCTCTGTGAAGTCATGACCGTATTGTTGATGAAAGCCCTTGGCGACAAGCCTTGCTCTATATCTGTCTATCTCACCATTCGGATGATATTTGACTGTAAATATCCACTTGCAACCAATGACGTTTTGGGATGGACGTGGAGGAACCAATTCAAACGTACCATTCCAAATCTGCGCATTAATCTCGTCACACATCGCTTGACGCCACTTCTCATCTTTCAATGCCTCAGCCGCTGTTGTTGGGATTTTGGGTCGGCTTTTTGTGACTGTGGTAGTGAGGGAAGTAATTGTTCTGGTTTTGACAATGTTGTTCTTTGACCGTGTTTGCATAGGGTGGTTATTTTGCGGTGGTGGGGGTGAGGGAGATGGTTCTGGCGACAAAGAGGAAGAAGTTTGAGGTGATGGTGAAGGTTGAGGCGATGAGGACGGGGCGTTTGAAGAAGACGATGTTAAGTGGGTATTTTCGTGGGCTGATGAGTTTGATTAATTGGGGGAATGAGTTGAGCTTTGGGAATGTAATGAACCAGATGGGCTTGAAGAGCGAAGTAAAGGAGATGGGCTTTGTTGAATAGAAGATGGCCTGTTTCTGCAGACACTGACAAATCATTAACAGAGGAGTGATGAGAATGTACCATTGGTGACGATGGAGCCACATACGGCAACGAGGAGTGGTGAGGAGCTGAGCACGATGCTCTGATACCATATAGAATAGGAAGCTCAATCTAATTGATAGTGTGTGTTTACAATATATATAGTGAGTACACTAGAGAGATTAAGTAAATAGTAATTACAAGTAGATCCTTTACACACTTCTCCTTTACAATGTGTCCTTGTTCCAACCAATGTGTAAGCTCCATACAGGGGATAGGCTGGTTCACTTGAAGAGAATCTTTTCCATACCCGAACGATAACGTGGATAATTTGGCTTCGTGAAATCCAGTAGATTAAGAGCATCCTTAATGGTAGTATTTAAGGGGTATTTTAAGATAAGATATCCTTCACAAAACATCTTGTACATATACAAGATGTTTTGTGAAGGATATCTTATCCTAAGATACCTTTTAAATACTACTATTGAGCATGGTCTAAAGTATGGAATATCATCTTAATTATATTTTTAGTTTTTTTTTTTAAGTGATACGCAACTAATGAAAAATTTCCAATTATAAACAGAGATGCAACATATATACGTTCTCTATAACCAAATTATCTTTTCTTTTAAATCTCAAATATTCAGAAGAAAGAAAAAAAACTAAAATCATACGTCAATAGCATGATGTGAGGTAGGCAAATACATTGGTAGTTCTAATCTGACACAATTGTTGGTCAAGGTGAACTTCTTATGAACGTTTTTGATTTGGTAGAGAGGGATCCTTTTGAAATAGAGCAGAGTAAAATGACCACCATTTATATCTGAATCCTAGCTTTAAGGAACGAACAAGAATTTATTGGGAATTCCATTGTCTCAATGGAGAGGACCACCATTCTGTAAAGAGATTTTTTGCCTCCAAAAAGACGAAATGTGAAATCAATTCAAATAGAATCAAGATTCATAAATTAAAGACTATAGACTTTGGTCCATTGCTTCTTTAAGTAGTGGATATTTGTTCATGGGTGTATTATATATATAGTACTCAAGGGTCTGAATTGGTGACAATGTATTTGACTGTGCTGGAAAAGTGGTTTTAATATGCGGTACGTATCTATTGCGGTGTTTAGGAAAACTGAGGTATGCGGTATGTTTGGACCGCTAGATAAACACTACTTATGTTTTTAAAAGTGTTTCATACCTATATATATTGGTTAGTTCTGCAAATTTAAGAAAAAAAAATTCAAAAAAGCTAAAAAGAAGAAAATCTGGTTGAATGGTAACATATATGTGTTATTCCGGTGCGGGACGAAAAACGCCCCGCTTTTGTATTCACTATTTAAGGTCTAAGTGTTTTCCAGTTTCTCTTCTCCCCATCCATGACAATGTTAGACCCTATTTATAGCACATGCGATCTGTTGGAATCAATTTTCAGAAAATTATAGTGTTAAATTAAAAAAACCTGAGATACTCTAGTGTGGTGGAACTTGGTCACACAAATCACAGACCTATCTCTTACGGGTGGCGAGAGGGATTGCATCAGCATCACAATGATTGGTTGGATTCTTGGGGAAAGCACTGCCCATTGGAAAAAAAAAAAATACGGCCAAACAAAGAAAAATATTCATAATGTCATATCATAGCAAAGTATAGTATCTTCTTTCTCTTGAAGATCACCAGAGATAACTTAGGATATAGTTTAGCAACATCAACTGTTAAAAAAAACCGAAAAAAACATTTCATTGAAGTTTGTATATCTCAAGGTGCAAGAGCATAAGGTCTTTGCTTTTCTTTAAAATGTATAGTACTGATGGAAAAAATCATACAGACTTTAAACCATGAGCAGATGATATTGACTTTACGTTTTAGGAACTTCTAGCTTCACTATACTTAACCTGAGGAAAGTGATGAACAAGAAGATACTTCAACTCCACTGCTCTTAGTTGAAGATGCTTCATGAATAAGCGGCAAACCACACATTGAGCGTATGTTCGATAGTCCCTCATACGACACAAAATACCGCTCCCCATTAATCAAAACTGTTCCTTTGAGAGGCTTCACTAAGTTAACCTCCACACAAACTCTAACAAACCGAGCTTTGACAAAACTAAGTGCTCTTGCATCAACTTTAATCGGTTTACCCAACCCGCGAGCTATCTCCATCAAAATTGCCTTATGATAAAAATTAACAGGAAGATTCAACAACCTGACCCATACCGCGGTCGTAAAAATATCATCCCTCAACGGATCAAACTCCGGAGACCAAGCTTGCACCATAAGATAACTCCCAAAAGCCTTCCATGGTCCTCCTGTCAAAGCCGTCAAGTACTCCTCCTCTAACTCAAAACGAACCATAAAGAACTGTCTCGGAAGGTCCACCACATATATAGCTCCTATTGGCTCCCACATCTCTTTTAACTTCCTACTTAACACTTGTAGTGAAACATTCCTCCCTAACACCTTCACCACAATACACTGCTTCCACAGAGAGTTCATGGCATCTAGTACCTCTTCCCCTATAGTAATAACTGGCTCACCATCTTCCCCATATGGGAAATCTAACTGTATCCGCGATGATACGAACTCATTATCAATCACACTCTCCGGATTTGGCACCCATGAGCCCATCACGTCTGGAGGGTTGCATGGAGGCCGTGCCGAGAATACCATAATCAGATTTTGCTCTGCTCACTCACCTTCCAAACCCTAGAGTCGCCTTCACCCGTAGCAGCCACCAAACTATCTTCTAAATCGTTCCTTTATATAAATTTAGAAAATAGGTAAATATACAATAATTTCAGAAAATCGGAAATGGTATATAAATATTTAAAGTATATGTAAGTTTTCTTATATGTTTCTTACCTTATACCTTACCTTTGATATCATAATTTATTTCTATTGTTTTCCAAATATACCACATTTTGATTTAATTCCAAAAATACCACAAAAATTTTGTTTTTGTAAAAATACCATAAACATAAAAAAAGAATATTGAATTTTGAAGATGTGAAATTATTTTTTAATTTTTTGGTTGACTATTAACATTTAAGATATAGTTTTTTATGGGTAGGGTTTAGTGTTTAGGATTTATAAATTAGTTTTAAAATGTTAAAAAATTAGATTTTAGTTTGTGATATTTTTGGAAAAGCACTTGTAATTTAGTGGGTATTTTGGAAAATAAATTTTCTAATGGAAATACCCATTTTAATGGTATTTAATAGAATTCCCTTTGATAAAACCGTTTTATTTGTAACTTCATGTTTTACAAACATGGTTTCATTGATGTAGTCTCACTCTTGAAACCTTAAAATAGATTTGTTATCCAAATTTTAGAATTTTCCTATTCCTACACCTCAACAACCCCTTCTTATTGAACAACCCACTCACATAGTTGTGTCATATTTTAATTAAGGTGCAAGTGGTTGGAAAAAAAAAAGATTCATAAGAATATACATTAGGCCAAACAAAAAAATACAAAATCATTGTTTAAAGTCAAGCTTTTATGTAACAACAACTCTTTAATTTCGAGAGCTCAAAGGTCAACTCTTTTTCAAAGTTTGAGAATTTTGTAGACAAATTACAAATATAATCTGATATTTACAAAGGGTTTATTATCACCCACTTAGAATATCACAAGGCTAGAGTGAAATATCAATACAAAAAAAAGACTTAGTATCACTAGTAAAAAAAATACATATAGCCACTTGGCAGTCGCGAAAATTCGTGGCTATAAGGTGATTTTTTAAAAAACAGCCACGAATTTTTTAAGTTACGACGCTATAGCCACAAATTTTAAGGCACAACCACGAATAGCCAAGTGGCTATAGAGATTTTTTTTACTAGTGTATGAAAGATATACTACACTTATTGGCCATAGCAATGTGAGCCTTGACCATCTTCAAGCAGCGTGTTACTATTGCTTGCATCAATACATCCATCAGATTACTTGAGCAGATACACCCTCAAAGGAACTTAGTGCACTAATAACCGATTCATATACCTCTATCCCTTTCATGAACACAGTATCTCTAAGGAACTAAGGCCACAAGAAAACATTTATATCAATACTGTGATAACAAAATATAGACTCAAATATAGCAATAGGATAATATCATCATCTTGCCAATACCTCGTTATGGTCATGCACTAAAACAGGAGTGTTACTCATTGGAGAAAACCCCAAAACCGGAATTCCCATAGCGCGAATAAACCGTGAATCCGTAGTTGAAAGCAAGACTTCAGGCTTTGCGAGTTTCCCTCCGGTTGCTTCAACAGCTTGCTTGAAGATAAACCACCAAGGATTGGAATCATCTATTGGAGTCATTATAGGTCTTCCTAAATTGTCTCTTAAGTTTCCTTTCACTTTAAACTGGTCCAAGAAAAATAATACAACATTATGGATTTGGATAGTAAGATTACAATTAGCCACAATATAGACCGACCAACCATAAGGATTAAGGAAAACTTAGAGTTTAGGTGTATGTTCACTTACTATGTAAGTCATGTTCCTAATAGAAGGAGCCCATTCTTCAGCAATTCTTTTTTCCATAAGATTAGGATCTGCCATAGGATGTAACCTTAGATCATAGCCAGCTTCTGCTTCTGAAGGCTGCATGTTCATAACAAACCCCTGACAACAAAAAAAAAATACACTTAACCAAAATCTCATACACATCAAAAAAAAAAAAATTGCAAAATTTAAATCATTAGCTTACATTAGTAGAAGGAGTTCCAGCTTTAAGATAAACTGGATTCACAGAGATAACTTCCGAATTCGCAGCTTTTCCGGCTTTAACTAAATCGAACTGCGTCTCTCTAAACTTAGAGATCAATTCAACACTCTTCATCAAATTCTCCATAGCTGAATTATCATAAAGCTTAGCACCATGACCTGGAATACCTTCAGCTCGTATAACAAGATGCCATGGAGTCCGCTCACCGTAAAACACTCTAAACTCATCACCAGGACTTGCTTGTCCTTCATCCATGACAAATCCTAAATTCAAATCTTTAAACTCTGAAGACGCCGCGAACTTCATCATCCCATCGAATCCACCTAGCTCTTCTTCAGGAACGTATGAGATATGAATAGTACGAAGAGGAGAGAAGCCTCTTGATTTCAAGTTCTTGATTGCTTCAAGATACTGAACACCAATACATTTGTCGTCTTGCGCGCCACGAGCGTAGATAAGGCCATCGATGGTACGGTGAGCTGAGAAAGGTGGATGTATCCATTTCTCGGATTCAGCGGGAACATAATCAAGGTGAGAGTTGAAGAGAATTGAAGGAAGGTTAAGGTTAGAGCCTAGCCATGTGAGGAGAAGAATTGGCTTACCAGGAACGAACTCGATTGTTCGAGAAGTTAGACCGATTAACCTAGCTTGATCAAGAAGAAATGAGATTGGTGCTGTGTAGTTAGGGTTTGGATGAGCTGTGTTGATTCTTAAGTATTTTTGGAATCTTGTGATTGGTGTATCTTCTTCTTCTTGTTGTTCTTGGCTGTTTGATTGAAGTGAGAAGATGATGGAGAAGATGAAGAGAGTCCAGAGAAGATAAGACACAGCCATGGAATCTTTAGCCATGGATTTGTAGTTGGAGGAGTGATCACTGGTCTGAAGATGAAGAAGATGATGAAGAAGAAGAAGTAGAAGAAGAGCTTTAGCTATTTTATTATGACTTGAGCTTGACCAGCGAACTAAAGATAGAAATAGTCCTTTAAAATAATATTAAACAAGCGACCATGTTATATTTTCAAATCATTATTGTGCCACCATGCTATGCCATGCGGAGGATATTTTTAATATCTACAACTAGGCTATTAAATATTATTTATCACATTAATATATATTATCTTACATCTCTATCATAGTATATAGCCATTGTGTATATATTTCTATAGTTTTGGAGTCTGTATAGAGTAGAATATTTGGTTTAGAGGCTCTGGTTTAAGCCTGGTCAAGTTGTATATAAACCCCCAATTGTAACTTTATTTCAATAAATGAGAATGAGAGTATTTTACTAAAATGGTATCAGAGCAAAATAGCTCTCGCTCGTTCTAATTTTTTCTCGGTCTTTCTCCTCCGCACAGTTCGCCGAGAAAAGTTTGTTAGCCGGTGATTTTCAAATTCCGATCTGATCTATTGCTGTAGACTTGCTCGATTCGTCTTCTCTTTCGATTCTCCACAGTTCTAGCTCGATTTCGATCTCTTTATCTTGATATCAGCTCGATTTGTTCAATGGGAAAACGAAAGACAACATCGAAGTATCGTTCCTCTACACCGGATCTACCGGAAATGGATTCTCCGATCTCTCACAACAAAGCTCGCAGCTCTTCGCCGATACGTGTTGCCTCTGGATCCGCGCCTCCGGGTCTGCCTGCTCGCTCGAAGTCATTCTCTGCTCCGTTCGTGGTCTCAGATTCTCCGGATAACATTCACAGTCCATATCATCTTCACAGCTCCGATCATCTAGGTTTGGTTCTTGTTCCTGATCTTCTCGACGGCACAAACTATGGAACTTGGATTGTAGCCATGACTACCAGTATCGAAGCTAAGAATAAGTTAGGATTTGTGGATGGTTCTATATCTCGGCCTCTTGAATCTGATCCTTACTATCTGATATGGAAGCGTTGTAACAGCATGGTGAAATCCTGGTTGTTGAATAGTGTTTCAAAGCAAATCTATTCCAGTATCCTGTATTTTCACACTGCAACAGAGATATGGAATGATTTATACACTCGCTATCACAAGTCAAATTTGCCAAGGCTATACAAGTTACGCCAACAGATTCATTCGCTACGTCAAGGGACCATGGATTTATCTTCTTATCACACTAAGACACAATCTCTTTGGGAAGAACTATCTAGTCTTCAGGTTAATGCTCGCACTGTTGAAGATTTGGTTGCTGAAAGGGAAACTAATCGTGTCATTGATTTCCTTATGGGACTCAACAATAATTATGACACTGTTCGAAGCCAGATATTGATGAAGAAAAGCTTACCTTCTCTCTCTGAAGTTTATAACATGTTGGATCAAGATGACTCTCAGAGATCTGCTACTCATCCATCACCTGGTACTCTGGATCCCTCAGCTTTTCAAGTTGCTCAACAGTCCTCTCAGAGCTCTTCTTCTGGTGGTTATCAGTTTCAGAAAAGAGACAAACCGATCTGCACCTTCTGTGGCCGTACTGGTCATGTTGTTGAGAAATGTTACAAAAAGCATGGTTATCCAGTTGGTCATCCTCGCTTCAAGTTCTCCAAGTCCAATCCTACTGCAGCAAATGTCATCTCTGATTCTTCTTCAGAAAGTAATGCAGTTTTGGACAGTGGTAAACTCACTGATGACCTCTCCACAGATCAGATGCAGCAGATTGTTTCATTCCTCAACTCCAGAATCAGTAGCTCTACCATCACACCTGAAGTTCATGTTGTTTCAGTGTCTTCCCTCCCCTCTTCTTTACCTAATGGCCCAGCACCTGGTACCTTTTTTCCCTCTATCATATGTTCTTTTACCAGTGCTGATAGGCCTTATGCTTATTCCATTGCTAGCAATACTATTGCTATTAATGCTTGGGTTATAGACACAGGAGCAACTAATCACATTTGCCATGATAAATCTTCCTTTTCTACTTTTCAAACTCTCACTGACACTAATGTCAATCTTCCTAATGGTGGTATAGTGAGCATTGTTGGAATAGGAACTGTTCATCTGGGTAGTAATCTAGTTCTTGATGGTGTTCTATACATTCCCCAGTTTAAATTCAATCTTCTAAGTGTCAGTTGTCTGACTAAGTCTATGGGCTGTAAAATTTGGTTTGATGAGAATTCTTGTGTTCTTCAGGATCTTTCTCGGGACTTAATGATTGGCATGGGGAAACAGGTCGCTAATCTCTATTTCTTGGATATCGAGTCTATAGCTAAACATGTCCATTCGCCTACCTTTGTTGCAGCTTCTGTTACTTCTCATGAGCTTTGGCACAAACGGTTAGGTCACCCTTCTTTTTATAAACTTCAGTCTCTTTCTCATGTTTTGAATTTTAAAAAGGAACCAAAAATCCAAAAAGATTTTCATTGTAAAACTTGCCATTTGGCAAAACAAAAACATATCCCTTTTATTTCTCATAACAATATCATAAAAATTCCTTTTGAGTTGGTTCATATTGATACTTGGGGTCCTTTCTCTGTCCCTACTCATGATGGTTATAGATATTTCTTAACCATTGTTGATGATCACTCTAGAGCCACTTGGATTTATCTGATGAAAAACAAATCTGATGTTCTTCACATTTTTCCTTCTTTCATAAACATGGTTGAAAATCAATTTGAGACTAGAGTTAAGGGGGTTAGGTCTGACAATGCTCATGAATTCTACTTTACTGCCTTTTATCAATCTAAAGGAATCATTCCATTTCATTCCTGTCCCGAGACTCCTCAACAGAATTCAGTGGTTGAAAGGAAACACCAACATATTCTCAATGTTGCTCGTGCTCTTCTCTTTCAATCTCATCTGCCTCTTCCTTATTGGGGAGATTGTATTCTTTCTGCAGTCCATCTCATTAATCGCATTCCAGCTCCTGTTTTGGATGATAAAAGTCCTTATGAGGTTTTAACAAAACATGTTCCTAACTATGATGATTTGAAAGTTTTGGGATGTCTTTGTTATGCTTCAACCTCACCCAAGAATAGGCATAAATTTGACCCTCGAGCCCGTGCATGTGCTTTTCTAGGCTATCCTTCTGGCTATAAAGGCTATAAACTTCTTGATCTGGAGACTAATGACATTTTCATTTCCAGACATGTTGTTTTTCATGAAGAGCTCTTTCCCTTTGCTAAAACAGATCTTTCTCAGGAAGCTAAACATTTCTTCCCTGATCTTGTTAGCACTTCTCCTATGCAACATAATTTCTCTGATGCAGATGCTTCCACATCTTCATCCTCTGTAGAGACTATGCCTTCTGCTAGCTCTACTGATGTCCCTGAACCTTCTGCTCAAACATCGCATAGGAGAACCAAGAAGCCAGCTTATCTTCAAGACTACTACTGTCATCCAGTCGGGTCTTCAACCATCCATGAAATATCTTCTTTTCTTTCTTATGATAAAGTGTCAGAGCTATATCTTTCTTTTTTGGTTTCCATAGACAAAAATAAAGAACCCTCAACCTACACTGAAGCAAAAGAAATTCTTGTGTGGTGTGGAGCTATGGATACTGAAGTGGAGGCTCTGGAAACAACACATACTTGGGAAATCTGCACCTTACCTCCTAACAAAAAGCCCATTGGTTGTAAATGGATTTACAAGATCAAGTATAATGCTGATGGAAGCATAGAGAGGTATAAGGCCAGATTAGTTGCTAAAGGGTACACTCAACAAGAAGGAGTTGACTTTAATGACACTTTTTCTCCAGTCTGCAAACTCACCTCTGTTAAACTCCTACTAGCTATCTCAGCAATTTATGGTTTCACTCTTCACCAGTTGGATAAATCTAATGCTTTCCTTAATGGTGACTTAGATGAGGAAATTTATATGAAGCTGCCACCAGGATATGCTACAAGAAAGGGGGACTCTCTCCCACCTAATGCTGTTTGCAGGTTGAAGAAGTCCTTATATGGATTGAAACAAGCCTCCCGACAGTGGTTTCTAAAGTTCAAAGACACTCTCACTGGTTTGGGGTTTATTCAATCTCATTGTGATCACACTTGTTTCATGAACATCACTCCTACTCTCTTCATGTGTGTACTGGTATATGTCGATGACATTATCATTGCAAGCAACAATGATTCTGCTGTTGACGACTTGAAAGCTCAGCTTAAATCTGCTTTCAAACTTCGTGATTTAGGCCCTTTGAAGTATTTTCTCGGTCTTGAAATTGCTAGATCTGCTGAGGGTATTCATATTTGTCAAAGAAAATATGCTTTGGATCTTCTTGATGAAACAGGTTTGCTTGGATGTAAACCAGCCAACATTCCTATGGATCCTAGCATCAAATTGGCGCAAGACAGTGGTGGTGAATTTGTTGATGCCAAGGCTTATCGACGTCTCATTGGCCGTCTAATGTATCTGCAAATAACTCGCCCTGACATCACCTTTGCTGTTAACAAGCTTAGTCAATATTCAGGAGCTCCTAGACAATCTCACCAACAGGCTGCTTTGCAGATTTTACATTACATCAAAGGCACCATTGGTCAAGGTTTGTTCTACTCCTCTAAAGCTGAGCTTCAAATTCAGGCTTTTGCAGATGCAGACTATGGTTCTTGTCTGGACACAAGGCGATCTACCTCAGGCTATTGCATGTTCATAGGCTCTTCTCTTATCCTTTGGAAGTCCAAGAAGCAACAGGTAGTCTCCAAGTCTTCAGCTGAATCTGAATACCGCAGTATGTCTCTTGCAACAGATGAACTCATGTGGCTAACTCAGTTTTTTAGAGAACTTCAAATTCCCTTGCGCAAGCCTACTCTTCTGTTCTGTGACAACACTGCTGCCATTCATATTGCTAACAACTCCGTATTTCACGAACGCACCAAGCATATAGAATCTGATTGCCACAGCATTCGTGAGCGGTTAGTTGCAGGTTTGTTCAAATTACTTCATGTTTCTACTCACATTCAACTTGCAGATCCATTCACAAAACCTCTCTATCCAGCCCCTTTTCACTCTCTGGTAAGCAAGATGGGTCTCCTTAACATCTTTGCCCCATCTTGAGGGGGACTATCATAGTATATAGCCATTGTGTATATATTTCTATAGTTTTGGAGTCTGTATAGAGTAGAATATTTGGTTTAGAGGCTCTGGTTTAAGCCTGGTCAAGTTGTATATAAACCCCCAATTGTAACTTTATTTCAATAAACGAGAATGAGAGTATTTTACTAAAAATCTCTTAATGTAATTTGAATCGACTTCACAATCTTACTAAAAATCATATACATATGTTAACCCTTTTTAAATTAACGTAATACCATACGAACGTGCCTTTTGCTATTGGTTTCATACCCGTAGAAACTAGTTTAGCCAACTTCTAAATTTATTGTTTTAAGGTTATAGATTAGTGATCCTATTGTTCAAATCTATATAGATTTTAGTATTACGATTTATAATTTATATTATAGAGCACGTCAGTGAGTTGAATTTGTCATGTAATAATAGATCATTCTGATTAAGTTGACATCATAGTTATTAGTTGCCACTTGATCAGGTAGCTAGTTCGGCCTACACTTAATTAATTGTCAGTTTCTATGAAGAAAAAAAAGTGTTAATAGCTGAATTGAAAAAAAAAAGGGTTTGTTATAAAAAGATAAGTAAATTTTTTTGGCAAAAACTTAAAGATCGCTGGTTCACGTGGCGTTTGGGACAAAATCTTATAACATGCTCTACTTGCACGCTTGAAAGGATGTATAAGTTTTGTCCAAAACCTTTCAAAGAAAAGAAAAAAAAAAGCCGAGGAAACGTAGAAGTATAACATAAGTTTTCAAACCAAACTAATACAAAGGAAAGCTACACAGCAAATATAGAAGTTTTCAAACTGTTATGCTCGTGTAGTTTAATGAAATGGACGTCCTTAAGAGTGGATACATACGATGGATTGCACAATCATCCTCACCACTATTTCGAACAGTCGAACGCATCATTTTGCTTATACTCATTTCATTTGGCTCTTGAAAGAAACCAAATGCTGACATGACAAACTTTTAATCTTACCGGAACATCTAGTCCCCCAAAGGCCAAAACCATTGGTTCCACTCTTGAGTCTTTGGTTTTAATTAAAAAAATATATTATTTTTTCTCTTTTGTTTTTCGCTCCCATTTAGTATCAAATTTCAACAAGTATTTTTAACATTTCTAAACATTTTTCATTCATTTCTATCACTTGTAATCAATGAAATTCATTGTATTATAACATATTCTTCTAAAACCTCTGGCGTGTATTCAAAATAAAATTTTAAAAGATTTCAGTTTTATTGGGTTTTTAAATGATTTTGATGATTTTAGGGAAATTTATATGATATTTTTAAAATTCTTTCAATTTAAGATAGATTTTGAAATCCTTAATTCAATAACAAACACTAAATTTATAAGTTTTAGACAAATCTCTTAAAATTCCATTTTGAATACACCCATTTATTAGTAAAGCAAATTCAATCCTTGGTGCTCTATATTCACGTACTTTTTGTACATCTACGTTTCGTATTGGCGAAAATAATATATACTAACGATGGAAACAAAAAAAAAAAACTTATTATTCGTGAAATGTAGCAAAAGAGTGGTCCATAAGATATGGACAAACAAAATTGCATGACTAAAGAACTCAAGAAGGAAGAAAAAAAAATACACCCTAATGAAGATTTAGGAATACCAAAACAAAACCTAGATCTTAACGTGGCAAGTACAACGAATAAGAGGCACGAAGAAAGGATCAGTGAAGTAGCCAAGAATCACATCGGTGCATTCATGTCTCATGTTGACAATAAGGTTGCAGCAATAGTCACTAACACGAAACTTGCCTGTGAAGTAACTTACTTCCATTTGTTGTTTACATATTGCCGACGGCCCAAAATCGTTTATGCAGCTGATGAAATGGCCCCATGGATTCTGATAAGAATGTGCCGGAGTTGTTGGCATTGGTGCCTTTGGAGTGGTCACAGGTTGTGGTGGTGGTGGAGATTTTTTAGGTGTTGGACGTGGAGGAGATGGTTTAGAAGGTGGTGGTGAAATTTTGGGAGTTGGTGGTGGCGTTGATGGTTTAGGAGGCGGCGAGGACTTCTTAGGAGTTGGTGGAGGCGTTAATGGTTTAGGAGGAGACGGTGATGGTTTAGGAGGCGGCGAAGACGTTTTGGGAGTTGGTGATGGTTTAGGAGACGGTGGAGACTTCTTGGGAGATGGTGGCCGTGGTGATGGCTTAGGAGGAGACGGTGATATTGGTTTAGGGGACGGTGGAGACTTCTTGGGAGATGGTGGCCGTGGTGATGGTTTAGGAGGAGACGGTGGAGACTTCTTGGGAGTTAGTGGCGGTGGTGATGGTTTAGGAGATGGTGGAGACTTCTTGGGAGTTGGTGGCGGCGAAGATGGTTTAGGCGGTGGTGGAGACTTCTTGGGAGGTCGAGGCGGCGAAGATGGTTTAGGCGGTGGTGGAGACTTCTTGGGAGGTCGAGGAGGCAATGATTTAGGCGACCGAGGAGGTGGAGGTGAAGGGTAAGAAATAGAGACGGCGGCTCCAGATCCATTGTTATAAGTACATTTCCAAACTTTGGAATCTAGGTCACTCAAATCTATACCAAAGTTGTGGTAATGGTCACTATTCACCAAAGTGGCCTCATGAGAAACTTCTGAAGGTTTTGGCCAAGTTGCGATCGTTGTTGTAGGTGAAAAGATGAGACATATGAGAGGTACAAGGACGATGAGGCTCTTCATGGTTTTGAAGTGTATAGGAATGTAATTTTATGGTAATGGAACTAGTTATATAGATGCGCTTTTGTTTAACCTTTTTTTTTTTTTGTGTTATTTGTTTTGATTTAAGTATGAGGAAGATTAAAACATGCATGACCTTTATTTGTGGATTAAAATACGGGCAATATAGAATTTTTACGATATATTTTAGGAGGATCTTATCAGATACCTAACTGAACTCATCTTATAATATTTTTATCGGAAGTCTCTTTGAATTTGTCAAATTATATGTTTATTTATTTATAACTAGAGAAGTTATCCGCGCAGATGCACGGTAAGGTGTTATAGCAAAAACTAACACATACGATAAGTTTCATTATTGAAAATGTATAGTTTAAACACTACATATGTTTACTATGTATATTAGATTTTTGACTTACTCAAGCCAAACACATAATAGTTTATACTGAATAAAAATGAACTTTAGTCTATTAAACAATGATGGAAAGAGACTAAGAAGTTTTGGACAATATGCATATAGCAATCCTTTTCTAAATAAAATAGACGTTTTTGAAATACTTCTTTGAAAACCACATTAATTGTCTTGCTTTGACACTTACCATCTGTATCAGTAATTAAAATCTTTATTTATTTCCTACTTGTGACCCTAAAAAGTGCCACATATAGTTGTCCATGTGTGAAGACAGACTTTGGCAGAAACAACCCAACATACTCCAGTGTCTGATCTTGGTGTTTGTTTATAGTTATCGCAAAGGCAACAGCAACAGGAAATTATCGACGCCTCATACGAAAGGGAAACTTTGTTTCTGGTGGATAAGAACTTTATCACCAACGTTGTCACCTGTCACAATCCTTGCTTCTAAAACATGATTAGCCATCTGAGTAACAATCAACCTCGTATCATTGCACAATCCCCCTTTAGGATCTATATTCCTAAGTAACATGATTGGAGCTCCTTTTTTCATTGTTAAAGCATGTTTAGGTAATCCAGAGACATTGACATTGTTTAAGAACTCTTAGGAGTATACCATATCGTCAAATTAGTTAAATTAGTTTTAAAGATAAAGTATCAAGAATAAAGATATTTAAACAGTACTATATACCTGGTAATTAAGAAAGCATATATTGATTTTTTTTTATCAACATCACCGTTTCTTGGACTAAGAATAGTTCTCTTTCTGAAAAACTTTGGCGACGTCTTTGTTGCAAACGAATCACCATAAATCTCACCATGCGCGGTTAAGTGTAATAGCAAAAACGTGTTTGCATATATATATATATAATATATATAGCATTATTTAAATTTATCACTCACTCAAGCATAAATCATATAGTAAAATTTATCACTTACAAATAAATGAACATAAGATAATTAAAAAACCACGCAATCTTAGGCGTTCTAATAAGAATAAAACAGATAATAGTTCATACTAAATAAAAAGAAATTGCAGTATTAAGATCAATGAAAGGCAAAATGATACAAAATAAAGCTTATTTGCTCTTTAAAGTTTTGAACAACTTGCATAGAGTAATCTTTTAAAAAATAAATTATAGGTTTTCAAATACTTCCTTGAATATTCAATGATAACTGAACTAATATTTTGCCTCTCTTCACTTGCATAAAAGTCTTAATTAATCTATTTTTTTTTTAAAAATAGTAAAAATTAAAATGCGTAAACAATAATAAACCTAATAGTTGAAAAAACATATATTTATTTATTTAATCAACTTCATTGTTTCTTGAATTAAGAATAGTTCTTTTCCTGAACAGCATGTCTCTGTTTGCTAAGAAATTGCCATCAATATCACCAACAATTGCTCGAATATGATCCTCAAATCATGTTATTATTAAATCTTCTAGTATCTCTATTTAAGCCTCACCATCGTTAGCCTCATTGATTAACCCATCACTAATATCGAGTAGCCATTTAGAAAATGTAATACCTCGTAAGATATTGCCTCTCTTCACCTGCGTAAAAGCCTTAGTTAATCTACTTTTTATTAAAAAAAATTTTTTTTAAAATTTAAACAATAATATACCTGGTAGTTGAGAAAACATATATTTATTTATTTTATCAACGTCGTTGTTTCTTGAATTAAGAATAGCTCTTATCCTGAAAAGCACGTCGGTGTTGCAAATGAATTACCATAAATATCACCAACAATTGCTCGAATAGGATCCTCACATCACATTATTAATAAATCTTTTAGTATCTCTATTTTAACCTCACCATCGTTAGGCTCATTGATTCTTTCATCACCAATATCGAGTAGCCATTTAAAATACGTAATATAACTCGTAAAATGTTGCCACTCTTCACCTGCGTAAAACCTTAGTTAATCTACTTGTTATTAAAAATATAATAAAAATTAAAATACGTAAACAATAATATACATTGATGTTGAGAAAACAAATAATGATTTATTTTGTCAATGTCATCATTTTTTGAATTAAGGATAGCTCTTTTCCTGAAAAGTATGTCTCTGCTGCAAAGTAATTACTATAAATATCACTAACAATTGCTCGAATAGGATCCTCACATCATGTTATTAATAAATCTTCTGGTATCTCTATTTCAACCTCATCATTGTTAGGCTTATTGATTTTTCCATAACCAACATCGAGTAGCCATTTAGAAAACACAATATACCTTTGTAAGATATTGCCTCTCTTCACCTGCGTAAAAGCCTTAGTTAATCTACTATTTTTAATTAAAATATGTAAATAATAATATACCTAGTAGTTGAGAAAACATATATTGATTTATTTTATCATCGTCATCGTTTCTTAAATTAAGAATAGCTCTTTTCCTGAAAAACACATCTTTGTTGCAAAGGAATTGCCGTAAATATCTCCAATAATTGCTTGAATAGGATCCTCACATCATGTTATTAATAAATCTTCTAGTATTTCTATTTCAACCTCACCATCGTTAGGATTACTGATTTTTCCATCACCAATATCGAGTAGGCATTTAGAAAACATAATATACCTCTTAACATATTGCCTCTCTTCACATGCGTAAAAGTCTTAGTTAATCTACTTATTTTTAAATAAATTAAAATTAAAATACGTAAACAATAATATACATGGTAGTTGAGAAAACATATACTCATTGATTCTTCCATTACCAATATCGAGTAGCCATTTAGAAATGTTATATAACTCATAAGATATTCCCTCTCTTCTCTTGTGTAAAAGCCTTAGTTAATCTACTTTTACAAAAATAAATAAAAATTAAATACGTAAAAAATAATATACTTGGTAGTTCAGAAAACGTATATTAATTTATTTAATCAACGTCATCGTTTCTTGAATTAAGAATAGCTCTTTTTATGAATAGCACGTCTCTGTTACAAAGTAATCATCGTAAATATCAACAGCATTAATTGCTCGAATCCTCACATCATGTTATTAATAAATCTTTTGGTATCTCTATTTCAATCTCACTATCTATAGGCTCATTGATTCTTCCATCACTAATATCGAGTAGCCATTTAGAAAACATAATATAACTCCTAAGATATTTCCTATTTTCACCTGCGTAAAAGCCTTAGTTAATCTACTTTTACAAAATAAAAAACTAAAATTCGTAAAGAATAATATACCTTGTAATTGAGAAAACATTTAATAATTTATTTTATCGAAGTCATTATTTCTTGAATTAAGAATAGCTCTTTTTTTGAAAAGCACGTTTCTGTTGCAAATAAATTAACATAAATATCACCAACAATTGCTCGAATAGGATCCTCACATCATATTATTATTAAATATTTTGGTATCTCTATTTCAATCTTCCCATCGTTAGGCTCATTGATTTTTCCATCACTAATATCGAGTAGTCATTTAGAAAATGTAATACTTCGTAAGATATTGCCTCTCTTCACCTGCCTAAAAGCTTTAGTTAATCTATTTTTTATTAAAAATAATAAAAATTAAACTTTGTAAACAATAATATACATGGTAGTTGAGGAAATATATATTTATTTATTTTATCAACGTAATTGTTTCTTGAATAAAGAACAGCTCTCTTCTTGAAAAGCACGTCTCTGTTGCAAAGGAAATACCATAAATATCACCTAGAATTGCTCGAATAGGATCCTCACGTCATGTTATTAATAAATCTTCTGGTATCTCTCTTTCAACCTCACCATCATTAGGTTAATTTTTTTTTTCATCACCATAAATACATTTTTAAAAATCAAGGAAAAACTTAATTTCAATAATTTAATTAGGTTTAAGTTTGAAATTAATAGACTTCTCTAATAGGTCAATTAAATAATGTGATGGCTTTTCAAGCCCTTTTACCTAGATTAGACCAATTAAATAAACAGTAAGTCTAATATAAATCGTAAACCGGGATATCTAAACCGAGCACATACACTACAATCCAAAATCGTTTTGAAAGTGAAAGCAAAAGAAGTATAGATATGATAATTTAAAGACCAGGGTCTATTATTCTGTAGTAACTTTAAGATGTGAAAATATCAATTAGGAATTGGTATCCCCCAATCTATCTCTTCATCACTTCCCTCCACCAACTTAGTGTAGAAACCATATGTGAGCCTGAATATGTTAACATGGATTAATTAATAACTGTATTTGATATAAAATTAGTAATCTATTTCATAAACAATTAGCTTATTTACATAGACTCTTCTTCTTTGATGTCTGGAATGTTTGGATTCAGAAAAATGCTTTAGCATCCTCCAGTTGTGAGTAGGAGTTTTTTCTAACATTTGGAAATAAGTTATCTTTAAAGATTAAAAACATGACTTAACTTACACGTAAATTTATTTCATTAACATAAAGGGTATAAACATAATTATAATAAGGTACCTTTAAATCCATATATAGGCCAAAATTTTAAAACACAGAAGATCACATTAAACTGACTTTGATAATTTTGTTTGTAAATAACTTACAAACCTGAATTTCAGTTAAACCATCTCCAAACTTGGTCGAGGTTGTAGTAAATTCTCTTGCCATAAACATAACACTT